ACTATAGAATAAGTATTCATACTTTTTCTATATTTTTAATTTGTAAATCACACGAAAAGAATCTACATTTTACAGATGCATAATTCTAAAGTATTTAATACATATGAATATAATGTATTAATTAATTAAATTTTGTATAATATGAATTAAATATTTTGAGATTATATGTCTGAAAAATGTAGCTTTTCTCTCTCTTGTCATAATTTACAAAACAAAAATATATAAAAAAAAGAACACTAATAACTTTCAATATTCAAAAAACTTTTGAATTCTTTTAGTTACCTTATATGTAATAATTCCTAAAAAAATATAATGCATCTTGAAATGTTTTACAATTATCTATAATATTACAAACTTTTTTCAAAACTGGAAATGTCGGAGAAAAATACTAATATATAAATATTGTACGTCTTTTAAATAAAAATTGTGTGTAAAGATTGATTTTGTTTAGACATAAGTAAAATAAAAACATTGAAGTTTAATGTTCTATGATATTTAATATAGGCTTTCAATTTCTTTCTTTAAAAATTGCCCAATATATAAGTATTCTCATATTAGATCATAACGTCGGTTGGCAGCAAAACTAAAAGCTTCGATGTGTTTACTGTAGACACGTGGACGTGCGACGTTCTACGTTTGTCGCTCGTTTCATACATCGAGATTTCCATGTTGGTGACATCGCAATTTGTGGAATCAATTGACAACAATGTAAGTTTTTGAAATACATGAAATGTCATGCATTTTCCCTAGAAAATAAACTTACAATATTAAATAAACTTTGCTACAGANATCTTTCATGTTACAATATAAAACATTTTCGCAACAATTATATAATACAAGTTTTATGCAATGATGATAGGTACTATTATATGAAGAAAGTTGTGGTCTTCCGCACTACCCATGAGGTGCCACTAATAGCGCGTTAAGTTTTTTAACGTGGACTTTCGCCTGTAGCCTTATTCTACCACGTTTTGTTTCGCATCTGTTAGGGTTTTAAGTATGGATGTCGGATATATAGAATGCCAGACAGATTAAGATTTTACACATTAATTATTTTTAAATGTAAATGTCGGATATTTAGACTTCCAGACAAACTAAGATTCAAAGACATTAATTATTTTTAAATATAAGTGTCGGATATTTAAACTTCCAGACAAACTAAGAGATTCAAAGACATTAATTATTTTTAAATAATTTAAACATTAGTATTGCACATATTAGACGTAAAAGGACCAGCATCTTCAGTATTATCTGCAGCGTATAATCTCAAATGACTTTTCTGTTTTTTAGGACATGCAGAGTACAAATTGTGGGTGATACTCTATTGACCACAGTACGATTCGACACCG